AGACTCCAAACAGTGATTTTATGTAGAATAGGTACCCAGAAAAGAATAAGGCAGTATCAGGTTCACCAATATTTGGAACATTAAATTCCTGAATTCTGTCAAAAAAGTGAGTGTCTTGCAAAGGAAATTCAAATTCAAATTTAGTATAAAATGATTGTTGTACAGACACCCCCTTCCAACAGAATCAGGTATAAAAACTTTTGCAAGTAAAAAAAAAAAAAATTATATTTTAATTAAAAAAAAAATAATAATTAAATAATTAAGAATAATGATAAGATAATAGTAAAATAAAATAATAACAAGAATTAATTATAATGAAAATTTCCTTCAGGTAATATTCAGGTGAAAATACAGAGGCGTCCGGCAATTTTGGACCAATAGGAAGCGAATTACAGCGATAATTTTGCACAAGTGCAAATTATCGATAACTTGCACAAGTGCTAATTGCCGATAATTTTTTTCAGGTATTTTTTACCTGAGTCAACGAGTTGTTATCAGCTTTGTACACAGTATGAATGAAAATATATCTATAATTTTTGAAAAATTTGCACTTATGCGCTTTTAACTGATAAAGGCACTCGTGCACTTCGTGCACTCGTGCTCTTTTTCAACTAAAAATGCATTCGGGCAAATTTCCCAAAAATTATCGATAATTTTCATTGCACTTTATATTACTACTGATGCTGCTTTCCTGACAGCAGTTCTGGCAGGCAAAAATACGAGCAAAAATATGAGCAAAAATAAGGTACACAAAACAATAAAAAGAAATTAAATCTCTGGATTCTCCCCTAAATAGACAAAATTTTCCTCTCGAATTAAGGTAGCTACCACAGATACTAGATAAACTTGGGGTTGAAATTAATCAAATCCAGAATGTGTCAAAATTCTTGAGATGTTTTAATTAAAACTTTTTAACTGAATTTTTGACCTGTCTGGATTTCTATTAAACAATTACACCCTTTAGTTGAGATAATAATTTAGGGAGTCGAACAGAAAATGGCTGTTCAGGCCTCTGCCTAGATTCAATAAAGAGTTGATGGGGATGGACTCAAAAATTTGGTTTTCACCGACTTTATTTAGAGCAAATGGTCCAATATTCCCACACTAAAAATTGATTCTGAAAACCAGAGCAGCAATACCTATTTAAAATCCAAAAATCTGTGTTGACTTACCTCTTAACAAAACGTGGCACTAACTAATAAGCAATCACACAAAATGGAAGCCAACAATTAGATAAAAAAAACCTTGAAATATAATATTTATATTTCAAGAACAGATAAGATAAGATTTATCAGGTAAAAACTTAATAAAGATACGATAATATGAATATTGAAAAATCTACAAGGGAGGATCCAGAAATTCAAAGCAAAAATTATTTAAAAATAAAGAGGACTTGCCTGCCAGACTTGCTGTCAAGGAGAGAGGACGTTTTAGAAACCAAAGCCAGCAGGAAAACGACCCCGTATTTTTTATACTTCACTGCATTCCAACCAGCTTCAACCAATCAGACGAGTACACCCAAAAGACCATATTCACTTCAAAATGAAAACACAATGAAAGACCGCATGGAATAAAAGAGAATGGATAAAGATCCACTAAAATTATTTTGATTGTTTACAAATTATAATAATTTAAATTAAGGTTATGTCAAAAATAAAAAACAGTTAATTAATTAGATCATTAAGCCAATAAATGATTATTTCAGAATCAGAAGTTAGGAAAGGACAGAAATATATCCATTTGCTGAAAGTGAGATAAATATCATTTCTTTCAATGAAAATACAAATGACTGTCAAATGCGAATTAACCAAAAATCATGCTTTGAAAAATAAATCCATCGGGCACTAGATGGCAGTACCGCTAAGATATCCGCACTTTACGGACATAGATAGATGGCAGCACTTGTATTAGTTGAATTTGAATTTAAAGGATAACGCACATCTAACATGGGTTTTTTGGGCTCTATGGATTTTGCCAATTTTTTTATATGTTGTAGAGGATTTAATTCAGAACAACCTTTAAATGGGACGAAATCTTGTCTAACGGTCTTTGAGATATGAGCGTTGAAAGATAAACTTTTTTGCGAATTTTTGTGTAGAGAGTATACGAGATACTGATGCTACTGGTGTTTATCAGTCAAAATATTGACAGGTTCACATATGTTACGTCACTTAAAAATTAATGTCAACTAAGGTTAAGGCCGGGACCGCACTAGGGTCATTGTTGGCGCGAGTGTGGTCCCGGTCTATGTTGACATTCGTTAGTGACGTGAAATATGTCGACCTGTCAAAATTTTGACTGATAAACACCAGTTTTTCGTGTACTCTCCACACAAAAAGTTGTAAAAAAGTTCATCTTTCAACGCTCATATCTCAAAAATCGTAATACCTACAAGATTTAGTCCCATTTAAAGGTTGTTCAGAATTAAATCCTCTACAACATATCAAAAAATGGGCAAAATTCATTGAGCCCAAAAATCCCATGTTAGGTGTGCGTTATCCTTTGAATTTGAGGATATTTCAGATTATTTGGATGATTCTGAAATGGAAAAAATACTACTTTATAATGAAAATAAGAAGAGATGGAACATGTTACGTAAATGATAAATTTATCGTAACATGTTTTAAAGGCTCAACTCAGATGCCAAATTGTGCAAAAGTTAGTAAAACATTTAGGGGTTGTCATTTTTTTTTCTGACCAGAGGCCATATTGAAATCAAATGGTTCTCTAGACGTTCTCTTTTCTTCCGAGATCGCAATGGAAGGACCTGTGAAATTCTCGAACACGATTTTTGTAACGAATTTTCACAAAAGAAAATACCGAGTTTCTGCTTAAGGCAAGATGCCTAAGTAGCCTTAACGTTAATTAGTTTTTTTCTGATCCGCAGTCCTATTTTTTAGGTGAGTTTTCTTATTTAATTTTCATTAACCACGTTTTTCGTAATCCAACTTTTTCGACCCTTTAAATGAGCTTTTACACTAACAGCCAATTTCATAATCAACTTAAAGTAAACTTTAAATTTAAAGCTCCATTTGAAGTTGAAAAATCCTATCCTAAAAGTCTATTTAGCTAAAGTAACTTTTAATTCTCTATTATGAAATTGGCCGTAAAACTAAGACTTCCCTGTAATTGTTTTAGGACTTCTTTTGGGAGACCCCAAATTTACCGAATATTACCTTTTCCGTTTTCTCGATGCCTGCCAAATTCAATTCGTAAGCCTGCCGCCATGCCGTTAAAGTACCCACATGTTTGATATCTACTTACCTGCTCACCTGCTAGATGTTTTGAGTTAGGAAAAACAACAAGTAATTAACCATTGCCGATTGCCGAGAAAAACGAAGAAAAATAATGATTTGGTGACGTACAATTTATATTTTTTTTTATCGCCATGTGGGACAATATAATTTTTATTCGCTATTTCAGGTAATACCTTTGGTAAAAATTACCACGATTATATATGATAAATTGGGGATTTAAATTTAAAACAATATTTTTTTAATTGCCTGTTTGGCAAAGATTTTTAAAGTATAGCTGATTTTTTTTACCGTATGGTTTTGGCACAGATCACCTAATACAGATGCGAAAGTACGTATACTTGTCGTCGACGATATTCTGTGACGAAGCCGGGCCGCCAGCTCCCCGACGCATAGATAAAGATCGCCCGCGTCAGGACAATTAACGTGGCCGAGTGCGTGAGCATGTTCCAGCCTGTGTGTTTACATATGTTTGCGGGTAGAAAAAATATTTTTCTCCGAATGACAGGAAAAGCGGCCTTTTAATGACACTTGCCAGGATATAAAGTTGTATTTTTACTGCCTAGGCAGTAAAAGTGGACTTTTACTGCCTATGCATTAAAAGTGACAGTGTCACAACTTGCCAGGTAATAATTTCACTCAATTTGGTATTTGAAATTGATGGTGACAATGACAATTGTCAAAATAATTTAATTATTTGGATAATAATAATGAATGAAATAAATATAAAAAAGATGTTCATGTGTGAATTTAAACATTCGGAGAAAAAATTATATGTCTTACATGGCAGAAAAGTAGATTTAATGCCTCGGCTGGTTTCCTAGCCTCGGCTATGCCTCGGCTATGAAACACCAGCCGCGGCATTAAATCTTGTACTTTTCTGCCTAGTGAAACAAATAACTATTTTTTGCTGTTTGTGAACCAATTAAAGAAATAATATTATATTATTGAGCTTCCGCATTTATATAATAAATATGTTCAAAATACATTGATGTGGCATTGGTGCGGCCAGCCTATGTCTATCAAATTAATCTTAAACCACGAATTCGCAGCTCTTTCGCATCTGTATGTAAATAATCTGTGGTTTTGGTATAGTTGTTTTATAAATCAGCTAATTTTTTTATAAAATATGGAATACAATTATTTCCAAAATTGATCCTTCCGATCAATAGAAACTTATATTTTCATGTAGTGACTAAGACATAAAAGTGTTAGTCAAAGGTACCTTTGATCAAAGTTAATGATGCCATCATATTGCATCATACCTATGTATTTTAAGTAAGTAATTTTTTTTTTGGTTAAATATTTGCCAATTTATTCCAAAGTATAAACCTGGCAACATATTTATTATTTTCTACGAGTATTTTTTTTAAAATTTATTCTTCAAAATCAAGTGGCGTCCTAACTTTTTAAATATTTTAAAGAAGCAATACTTTGATAATACCCACAAATGCTCTACTGATGAACAGCTGCCGGTGCGCAAAACTTTGTGTACATTTTGTTTTGGGTCAGACATTTCGATACCTATTTAGCTTTGTTTTTTTATGTTTTGAATCCAATCAAAATTAACATTAACAACATTACAAAAGTTTTGAAATGTCAATATTAATATCTCCAATGAGCATTTGGCAGCTTGCATCGGTAGGTAAATGTTCTCAGATAAGTATCCAGACTCTCGATAAAATCTGTACAATTAACTTCTTGAGACTTGTGTAGTGCCGAGCTAAAGATTTTTTTTCCACTTACATTTAGTTTTATTTTAATAATATTGATAAGACCTACATTGCTAATTTCATACTCAGGTTTTAAATCAGATCGAATGAAAACAACTGAGCCTTCATTTCTGTTAATGTTACTAGCATTATAAACAAAATCGTAATTTGGAATGTTGAAATTTTTGGCATCGTAGATTACAAATGTCTCAGTGAGGACTATAACATCAAATTCTTCACCTAGTGATGAAATGAAAAGTAGAAGTTCATCAAAATTTTTTGCTATGCTGCAGATATTAATATGAAACATTTTTAGGCCTAGGGGAAATTTCTTTACTTCTGCTTTCAAATTACATATATCTGATACTTCATGTGCATCATGGTCTAGAGGCATATAATTTTGTATGTATTCGTTCATTTTTACTATTTATGATGTATCAAAAAAATATATATATTTGAAAAAATAATATTTCGCCTAAAGTAATGCTTTAGTTCAACCTTAAGGGGTGATAACAATCACTACGATTTGTAAGCACTACAATAGAAGGATTCTAAACTACTTATAGTTAAAACCATGTATTATGACCTATTTTAATAACATGCATTCCCTTTTTTTTACTAGTTCCGTTTTGGACCGTTTGGTTTTTTCTGCGGCATTTGTTGCTGAGTGTTTGTACTGCTGTTTCCTGAACCCGATCTTGTTCTGATTATTGAACTTTCTATAATAAAAGGGTGATTTTTTTTTTGATTTAGGTTTAAGTTTTGTTTCAGCGATCTCCAGATCTGCTTCCTTATTTGTGTTTTGTTTTCGTTTTTCTTGTGTATCTACTTCCTGTTGAACTTCTTCGTCCTCTGAACTTTCTACATTTGTATTTATTCTTGTTGATGTTGAAGGCGCAATTTCATCTCTTATTGACTCAAGAAATGTTTTTCTATCTAAGGCCTTTAGAGTGTCAACTGAGTATCCTATATTTCTCACAATAAGTTTATATTTGCTTATTTTGGCTGCAAACTTTTCTGCCTTGGCAATTTTGTAAAATGTATACAGTATTTTGCTGTCTGCCCTTTTTTCTCGGCTTAGGTCCAGTGCTATGCTGATACCAGTTCCTTTCGGGTGTTTTACGTTTCTGAAGACTTCACCCACAGTCAGTTCTCTCGTAAGCTTAATAAAAATTGGCCTTATTTCACCGATTTTTCTTTCGCCAATCCTGTAAAAATTATCCAAATCATTTATGATTTTGTTTCGTTATTCCCAAGTTTATTATTTAGAAGATCGAGCAAAATTTCTTCCAGAGACGCATTTTCGCTTTCCGTAATCCTAAAGACCAAGATATTTTTTTTCTTTGTAGTTCTTCCTGGAATAAACTCTTCTGTTTGAGTTCTTTGTGACGGAACTAGCTATTGCCCCTTTTTGGGCTTTAGTCAAACCGCACCAGGGATGCCAAAAGTTGTTACTTTCACTGACTGTAAAAATTAACCATCAAGTGTTGGATCATTTAAGCCTTGTATTGGGTTTGGTGTGCCTTGATTCCCATTTATACAAATAAAACGCTGAAATAGAATAATAATCAATTTAATTAATAAATGAAAGTAATTCGGTATGGTTATCAATCAAATCCTATCAAAAATTCCTAATTGAACGTCCCTTCGAACTACAAATTTTATACTAATGTTAAGTAAGTTTTCTAAAGTAAAGTATTCTTGATTTATAAAAAGTAGGGAAATCTGATAATGATAATAATATCATTGATGGTTAAATCTTCAATGAACGAGAACACAAATTAACTAATTAAATGCACGAGAGCACAACATAAATAATTCGTCAACTTTAATCAGTTCAGAGCAATCACAAAATGTTTATTGATCCTTGAAAGTTCTTTGATGTATTGGGAATCAACAATTTGAGCACTTTTCTACGAAAGTCGGTAAACAATATGTGCAAGAAAAATCTTTATATATGCTCAGTTTCTATATACAAATGTACAAAGTACAAATGTTAATTTCACGAGTTTGAAAACCAAATTTATGCATTAAACGTTAGAAAACACTTCAATTTATAGTGCATTTCAAGCGAATCACTAATCAGTATTTATTGACTTATTGTTCAACTGTTAGAGAAATTGTAACGGTCTTACTTGCTTAATCAGGTTCATGCAGATAAGTCCACAAGGCGATTATTTATCCATTTATCACTATTTGCGCTAGCACACTGGCAGCTAGGGAATTTTCCACTGAGATGAAAAGAAAACACAAGGATATACAGGTGCGTTGGAGCCCGTCGAGAGTAAGACAGATAGAGCCAAAAACAAGCGTAGGAGAGAATTTTGCTCGACCGAGTCGCTCGACCGAGGTGACTTGCAACAATTAGGAGTTAATTACATGAATTGTAATCAATAATATAGACCATGTCAGTCCTTGAGACACAGAGAGTAATATTTTACTATAAATCGCGCGTACTAACGGGGGTTTTTGGGGGTTTTTTGCCTCTGGAGAACATTCAGAGGGCGCGAGGGTGCGAACTCTTCGCTTGTTCTATTAGTACAGACGAATGTGTGTCGACTAGCTCTGCCAGGGAGCAGGTCGCAAAAAACTAGGGGTTTTGTGCGGCGGCTGACCAATCACACGGCGAGAAAAGTTCACTGCCTTATAAGATAATGAAGAAACCTGCAATTTTACCGGTTCAAAGGGTCGTTGTTGCCGGTTTTACAGGCATCTATTTTTAGAATATTATTTTTATGGTAGTTAGGTTTGGAAAGTAATGGAATTATTTCCCCCCGATCCGCCACTTTGGTAATAATTATCGAATTGTGATCTTATTTTCAAACCCTTTCCAAAATACATTCGGCCTCGTTTTTATTACCGGGTGGAATAAAAAAATGTTTGGGTATGTCTGTCAACAGTTCATCTCGCGGATGCATATCTTAAGCGGTTATGATATCAGATATCTGTCATTTTTAGCATGTCTTGAAGGATGTTCCTGATGGGTCCTTCAAATGCGACATAAGGCCGAAACTCACTAGCAACACGCCACGTCATGCTTCGCCACGCCACGCCATGTGACGAAAATGTATGCGTATATTCTTCCATTTATTTATATGTGCTGCGTACACACTTGCCATACGCGATACCACGCCATGGCACGCCACGCCATCCGTCCATTTGCACACAAACTGTCCCACGTGAACCTGTGTCACATGGCGTTGGGTGGCGTGGCGTGTTGCTAGTGGGTTTCGGCCTATATTGGTGCGACTTGGAACCTAAAGGATCAATATACAATATGAATTAAATTAAATTGTGTTACTTTTTATCACCTTCGTAGGCAATATCCAAGTGAAATAATCGCAAAAATCAAAACTATACGCAGTCTATTGTGGTTAAATAAATGGTGCCTAGACGTAACAGGTAACAGGGAATTTTCATAGTTCTCAATTTATTTTTTTTAGATACTTTTAGTGATCAGATATTACATAGTTTTCTCTTTGTCCATTTCAATCCATACGTTGTAGGAAAAAAAAAAATTATTGAAATTCAAATTAAAAACTTTGGCGCGAAAACGCGAGGTTTCAATATGACAGCGCTCATGTCGTCAAGATTTTGTAAACAACAAACGCAGCAACAGAACTCCTGCTGGCGCAGTGCTATTTTTGTGTTATTCAAGTGTGTTAAAGTTTGCTTTTTGTGAAAATTGTCGCAATGGATAAAGAATATTGTAGAGGACTGCTTCTGTAAATTTTATTTCACTTGCAAGTTCCCTATTGACAGGTTTGTTTACAAAATCGTGACGTCAAAAAAGGTAGCCATCATGGAAGCGTTGTTTTGGCGGTAAATTTTTTATTTCAAATTTAGCATTATTTTTTTGTGTAAGAAGGGCGGTATTAGTTAAATATTGACTGATCATATAAATATTATGCAGTATAAACTATCGATTTAGAACAAATTTGGAAAACTTTAGTTCACTTGCAAGTTCCCTATTATTAGGCCGAAATGGACGTAGGTAGCCAAAATGTCTTTAGCAGGATAATTTTAGACTTCTCAGAAGAATTAGAACTGTGATGCTGGGTGATGTTCGGCCAGACAGATCGTCTTTTGAAAATTATTTTTGTCGGCATTTGTGCACGTTTATGTGCGGTTCCGGTAAAAATCGTCCATTATTATATCCTGTCTAAAGCTATACGATATTTCGTCACAAAGAAAGTTGAAATTGTTCAATTTCATAAAGAAAATTGTTCATTAATTTCTCCTAAACAATATCCTGTCAAGTGCAACCAAATTTACTAGTTAACGCCTCAGACAGATTGACCCAGTTCCCCCAAATTGCAACAAAGAAAAAATTTAATAATAATTTTATTAGGCCGTTGCAATCAAATAAGTTGTTTCTGGTTGGACCTTTTTTTAGATGGCTGTTTTTTTTTTGGATCGCATCGTTAGGTTACGATTTAGTCCTTGATCTGAAAACAAATACATAATACACATTTATTGCATCAAAAATATACAAAATTATTATCCCAAAATCATTTGAACCAGGTCCCGATCAGGCATTATCATGGAATAAATGGAAACAAAAAGTACAGTTGTATTGGGTAGCTGCTGATAAGTATTGAAAAAGCCGAGGTAAAAAAAGAAAGAGCTATGTTTTACATTCCTGGGGTTTAGAAATAACTAAGACACTTTATTCTTTACTGAGAAAGTTGCAGCTTACTAGGCCATGAAAGAGAGGTTGAACCTCGCAAACTCGACACAAGTTCTGTTTTATTTTTTTTCTGGTAGAACAAGGGCTGCTTATTATGGGTCTAACTTTTTCCAACAAAATTTTACCCTGGAACATCCCCTCCTTCATCCCCTTAAAGGTCGTTTTTTGTGGTTTTTCCGAAACGTAGCGCATCCGCTTCATTTTGCAAAAAAATCTTTCAATAGTAAATTAAAGAGGACTAAATTCTGTACAATTTATCCAGCGACAGCATATGTCTATCATCTACCCTTTATCCGGGGTGGCGCTCTAAAGTTGAATGACCTTGAAAAAAGAGGTTTTGGAAATTATTATTTTTTTACTGAACAGTAAAGCGAATCCACCACAAACCATATAGCAAATACTCATAAATAATTAACCGATTTTTTGGTAAATGTTTCATTTAAAAACAGTTACCCGTTTAAGATATACACCTGAAGAGCTTATGCTAGGCTGTTCAAATTTTCAGGGATTATTGGTGTAGGAATGATATTGAAAAATTTGTATGATGCACCCCTATTTTCTACCTGGAACTACCCCAAAAAAAAATAAAATTTGAAAAAAAATGCCTTTTTTCTAATTTTCTCGCACACAATGCCCTTCATTTGAATGGTTCAAATATTATTTTGTGCACACCTGCGACATACATGCATAGACACCAAAAGCATTTTTCTAGTACAACCGCCTCTAGG